TTTCAGTTTTTATAACAGGCTTCACCCCGAGATATGGCCAGTTGGTTTACGTGCGCGTATTTCCGCCTTTGTTTCTATTAAATATTATGTCATGCCTAGTGAATGTGTGTACGATGAACAATATGTTTAATTTCGTGGGCTCTCAGCTAAAACCAATCGATTAGATTGGCAGCGACAGATAAATGGCAATATATATGAGGGAGATAAAAATATATGGGAGGGGATCAGCTAGAGATCTTTGCTGAAAATTAATTAAAATTTGGATACAGATTGATTATTCCTTGACCTTTACTATTATTTATAAGCACTTTACCTGAATCGAGGTTTCAAGTCTAATAGTTTTATTCGAATTACTTGTTTGAACACGTTGTTTATAGAATAAATGAAATAACCTCGGGTTCAATTAAATCTACAATTGAAATAATTTAAGACAGTATAATATTTAAAAGCCATTTTACACCATATCCTATAATTTAATTTCTAAAATATAATATGAGTTTTTACCGTTTAAATCTCTAAACCTATTTTAAAATCGAAAAGATCAGCACAAACTTTACATTTTTTTCTCAACTAAATTTGAGTTTTTAGGGAACAGATTTTGAACCTCTCTGGACTTTCTTCGCTCCTTTTTTGCTAATGCTCGCCCGAAGTTTGGACTTGTTTGTTTTTTGTTTTGCTCATTTCTGTTTTTGTTTAGACTGTTTTGCCAACTGCGGTATTTGGCCAGCGTTAGTGTCAAGTCAAGTGCTGGTCTCAATTTCAGCGAAAATGTGGCGAAACTAGTTTAAGACCATATTTTCTGCTGTGACTGCAATATTTTTCCAAAGTGTTTCAGCTTTCGGACGAGCGGCGGCCTGGGTAATGGAGACAAAGCACCTGCACAGAAACCCAAATAAGAAGCCGGAGACAAAAAATAATAGGTATGAGTCTGTGGTAGAGTGTGAATTTGCTCACCTTGTTTCTTGTTTTTTCTGCATTCCGAGAATCGGTTTTCGGTTGGACGCGGCTGGCTACCTTGCCTCTAATCCCGGGCCTGTTATTTCTGCCACGAGTGTTGGCGATCCCTGCTGATCGCCACAAATCAGGCGCGAGTACGTGCCGGGCATCGATAATCGCAAAGAATCGACTGCAAACGGGCACGTCCCGATGGTCAGCATTTTATCGTCTTCTTTTCGAAAATTTCCCTTTATGAGCGGCAGCCTCATCATTATGCATTCCGACTGGACGAGGGATCGACGGGCAACTAATAAGCGTTTTAGCACAGAAGCCACGTACCGACTTCATAGAGTTATTAGTGCCGTAGAAGGCGTCATGGTGATAAGATGGGCAAGGGAAACCGTTTGCGGTCGCCATATATCATGTAAGTGCATATTCCGCCCAGATCCGAACTGCATTTTCCCATGGGCTCTGGGCTCTGGGAGTGCGTGCTCATTGGAGGAGAACAGCCAGAGGAACAGCTCCGGCTGGAATTGGTCAAACTCCCTAACCGCTGGGGTCACGGGAGAGAAGTTGCCGCCGCCGGATGAGGGAGGAATTAATTTGCAAAAACTTAGGATCATCTGGAAACCATTTAACTTCCCAGAGACAAACTTTTGCAATTCTCTGCCGAACGGAAATGGGAGGAGTCGGCTACAATGTAGTTATAGCATATGTTATGTTAAATGTTTGACAAATTTAATGTTTATTAGAGGAATATAAAAAGATATTTTGTGATCCAAAGATCTTATGTGGCAGTACTTAACGGTCATTGGTTTACAATTAATATTTCTTTTCTTTTCTTGGGACTCCCATCATTTGTTTTATTGAAGGCAAAGTTTTTTTTAGATAAGAACAATGACTAAGGGAAGCGTAAGAAGTAGGGCAATCGGGGTTGTCACTTTTCTTTTAATCAAAATGGGTTGGAAGTTTTTATTTATACATTACATGCACATTTCAAACATATTTGTGTAGAACTTTATCTATTATCTGATATAGCTCTCTTAGAAACAATCGAAAAAATACATTATAAATTACCCTATAACTCCTTATACTTATTATTATACTCCTAATTATATAATTTAGTTGCTATACTTTCTTTCTTGTTTTATAAGAATTTAGTTGGTACAAATTGCTAGTCTCGTCCTCAAAGACTATAAGGAACGAAACTGTAAATTTATGGCACCAACCAAATACTTTCAAAAGAATAAAAAAAAACCATTACACTTAAATTAAAGACTAAGAACCATTTACATGTTGAAAAAATATATGACTGAATATTATCATGAGCAATAAAACGTACGGAGTGGCGAAAAACACCTCCTTGGGACAATGAATGTATGGCCTACTGGGTGCCAACAATCATATATTACTGACGCTCACTTCTAGAGTGTAATGAACTGGCTATAATATTAGTGATTATAGCGTTGCCTTCTTCAATAATTCAAATCAATGTAGTCAGTCTGTCTGCTCAGTTTGGTAATTGAAACTGTGATGGATAGTCAGCGAGTGTTAATAGGCATCTTGGCCGCCATGCATTCGACTATTCATCCGTGGACATTCCGCTCCACTCCGTTCCACCGTAATTAATCAAAGCGAGACCTTGGCATCGGCATATTCCCCATCAACAGGTAGTAAAACGCCAAGACGTGCCCCATCAATACGTATCCATCTGCAGCTGTGGAGGTATCTCTATCTTTTTTCTGTTTTTCTGTTTTTGCAGAACGACGCGGGAGTAGTTGGATTCGTGCGTGACCAAAAGAGTTGAGTGGTTTGCAGCAGAGTGGACTGAAGATCTCAAAATTAAAAACTCAATGATCTGCACAGGAGTATCAAAAATATGAATGCAGCCGAATGATTATTTTTTTTTTTTCGAAAATTAGAAAATCTATAAAGTAATAAATTAAGTAGGTAGTGTAAAATACTCAATGCATATGAAAACACAAATAATATTGATTTTGATTTTACTTTAGTCAATGAAATATATATAAACATGATTAAAAAGTTTCACATGAATAAACATATTTTTAAATACTTTTTGAGCCAATCAAAAAATACCATTAAATTATTTTGTGTAATAAAAATCATATTATTGAACCCAATAATAATGTCATAAAATCATAGCCGCTTAACTGCTCATTAACATAAACAAAAAAAGTGGAGCTCAGCCAGAGAAATAACTCAGAATACGACACCGTTTAGGTCAGTTGTTATTTCTGTATCCAAAGTAGAGTCCCAAGCGAGGGTTTGAGTTGCGAAGATGTTTGAAGGCTTTGGAATGGAACTTGAACTCAAAGAGAGACTCCACGACCTGGGATCAGACAAAGCAGCCAAAGAGAAGTCCAGGGAGAGCAGGCCATCCAACAGATACACACCTCGATCGGAGCCGTTTTAGAAATACTGGTTTTTCCTCAAGCCAGCACAAGCAAGCCAAGTTGGTTACAAAGATTTGCTTTCATTTTTCCGTTAAAATTTGCCCAGGTATGGGTGAGTATCTGAGTGTCTCGGTACGGCTGGCGTTGGCGTCAAGGTAGGTTATCTGCGTACCTGTATCTGAACGAGAGAGTATCTGCGTATCTGCGTGTGAGTGAGCCCAGGTAGCAAAGTCTTAGCTCTCATCTTGGCTTGGGTTCTTCCGACCCTGCCTGTTTCTTCACCTTGTCGGGATTCCACCTCCCTGCTATGTTAATCCACTGGCCAAACATCCCAGGGGCCACAGAATCGGGCCCATACACACCTGAGGAGTGCGTTGGCAGCTGCAGCTGCGCAGGTAGCCAGAAGAAGTTATTTGATTACTCAACCATTTTTCTTGCCGATTTTCGCCTGTTCTCTGCGCTTCCTCTGGATCTTCGGCCCAGAGCCACATGTTGCCGGTGAAACCTCACGTCGGCATGTCCGGCACAAATTTTGCTGTTTTTTCTGATGGAATTCAAGCCTTAACTCCGAAATTGAAAAGACATCTGTCGTCGGGAGATCGATTTTTTCTGGCGGGCATTTCCGCAATGTACGCATTTCGATACCAAGAAATTTTGGCTTTGGCTTCGAAGTGCTTCATACTTGAGGATGCATTTAATTGATCCGAAATTTGAATATTTGATGGACTCTTGACATCTATACATGTTTATCACTTCGAATCTTTTAAAGTGAAAGACACTTGAAGGCCTGCTCAAGTTTCTTCAAGACTTCGGTGGCTTTCAAAATGATATGTTTGAAGAGTAAATTGAATTTTAATTTCCCTGGAATTTTAAGCTCTTTTGTGCTTCAAAACAAATTAAGAGATGCTTTTGCAGCCTGAAATTGTTTAAGTATTCACCAAGAAATTTTTATTTATATTTTTCAAGCCAGTTAAGTAGATATATACTAATTTTTTCCGCTCTTCGAACCATCCAGACAGCAGATGCCACATATTACTCGGGACCAGAATCATATCTAACAGTTACCCTTGGACGCCTTGACATATCAGACATGCAAATCTTAATGAAGTTCTCTGCGGCAGCAGCGATCTTAGATACAAAAATGCAGCTGTAGAGAATAAAACTGCACCTGCTGCAATGAATACACATTTTCGTTTCCACTTGCCACTCGTTTACCCATTGAACCGCTCCAATTTTGTTCATTGACTTGTGCCGCAATCGATTTTTTTCAAACCCAACGAATCCAAAGGCAAGCGTAACCTACTTTCTGCTGATAAGATAATGACGCTTTTCCTCCGGCTGTAGTTTACAGTAGCGTTCGCCGACGCCTCAGTCAATGACTTACAGTTATATACACGCCTATATACCAACAGGCACATATATATTTATTTATTTATGTGTGTCTGGCGAAGAGCAAACATAGCTAGTTTGAGCACTTGTGTACATTTTCATTACTTCTAATAAAATCCAGGGAGCGGGTCTTTTCGGACTGACTCGCTGTCAAAGATGTCTGGATCTGTATGGCACCTCCGATCGAAAAGATCGCTTTCCAGTCTGATTCGCTTCCTCAATCGGTTATCTCGCCCGTTAAGTGATCAACACAGAAATATATTCGGTTTTATTATGTTTTTTATTTTAACACAATTACTGTGTCTTTGTGTGGCTCTTACGATTGTTGTAAATTATACAATTAATTAATATGTACTATATATAAATAAAGTATTTCAGCTTTTCACTGTTATGTTGGATCGCCTTGGCATGTAAAAAATGCCCCCTCACGGCTTACTTGAGTCTTAGTAAATACGGAAAAAGACTTACAAAAATACATATCGCATTGATTTATTGAACATTTTTACTTACATATATGTCTCTATATTTATATATATATTATATATCCCTTTTAATATAACATGGATATATCTGCACACATGTTACGTTCATAATTACAGGAAGAGTTTAGGTCTCCCTCGATTCGATAAGTTTAAACTAGGTTAAACTGATTTATACATGTACTAGAAGACAACCCTAAGAACTTATGGTGTTATTGATTGGATTTACAGTTCTAGATAAATTAAGATTAAAGTGATAACTTAGGTATACCGACTTGTCTTATCAAATAGAGTTTCCCCTTTGATTTTGTGTGAATTTCTTTTAGTTCGGAAGTTTTAACGAATTCTAATTGAAGATCTGTCTTGTCTAGGCCCTACCGCGATATAATTCTTCATATTACGTTGTGTAATGCATTTTCAGCTAACATAAATTCTAAAATAACCTACTAACTAGTGTTGGGATAATATATATTTATGCAATTAAAAATGCATACTGATTTCGAATTCGCTTCATAGGAATATTTCGGTCGCTGGACATTTGCATTTCTATTTAGTTTCGATAATTGATAATATGTTTTCCCTAGTATGTGGAATCGAAGCAATAACAGTTCTGCAGAAAATTGTGGTTTGTTCGCAGTTGCTTGGCTACATTAGTGTTAGTTTTAGTTATTATAGTTCGTTTACGTAAGATCAAGATCACTTTTTGCATTTACAAAACAAAAAACAAAAACGTGTTCCCCTGGGCCCTTGCAATACTCCTCCATAAAAATATATTTATATATATATATATAATATATAGTTTACCTATATATATCTCTTGAATAGACTTTGGAGCCGGCTAGGCCGGCACCTTGTCCCGACACTTTCAACATTCGTACAACTCTTAGTATATAAAAAGTCTTTTCATTTCTACGTCATCCTCAACCCGTGGCTGGCAAAGATTTCTAGATGCGCCAGCCCTGGTCGTCGTCCACATTGGAGTCGGTGTCCGATGGCTCCTCGCCGTACATATCGGCCAGTTTGCGGAAGCGCGGTCCAAAGTTGGACAGGTAGTCGAAGTTGAGATCGCCGTCGTCGGTGCAGGACGCCAGGCTGGACAGGCTGCCGTCGGAGTTGCCGTCACCCTCGTACGCATAGTGCCGCACATCGTCCACGGTGGTGGCGCCCACGTCCCGGTCGCAGTTCTCCTTCTTGTCGCCGAGGAAGTCGGCGATGTCCGGTATGTCGTTGGGGTCGCGCATGCTCCCCTGGAGCGCATGCGGATCCTTGTAGAGCTTCTCCTCGTAGAAGGGCTGGCTGCGCAGGACGTTCAGGTCGTATTCCGTATCCCTCTCACCGCCACCCTCGTCCTCGTAGTTGATGATCGTCTCGCGGATGTCATCGATGTCCTTCTCGTGCCAGCCGTTCTTCTGCTTCTTCTGCACCACGACGGCCAGCAGGATGATCAGCAGCAGCGTTAGACAGACGATGATAGCGATGATGAAGTTGCGATCTATCCCGAAGCTGAATGCCACGGCCACGGACTGCTGGCAACCGCTGTCGATGTTCCGGAACAGGGAGGGCATTCCCAGATTGTAGGTCTGCTCGTTGATAGTCAGGTTGCGAATGCACCCGAAGAATCCTTTCTGGGTGGGCACGTACGTCCAGTTTAGCTGCTTTCCCAGCTGTTCCAGATCCACCGGAGTGCCGCCCAGCTGCAGCGGGGCATTTACGTTTAGGAACTCATTGGGCAGGATTGGGGCGCCCAGAGTCTGACACGTTGACAACCGGCAGTTGTCCACCACCATCTCGACATTTCCGCGCTGTAGGATAATATCAAGTTGATAGGTGCGGTCAGGCACCATCTTAGTGTGCTGGTACCGGATCTGTATAGCGCCCGATCCGTAGTCCACAGTCAGCAGCGGATAGCCGTTATCCAGCTCCAGAGCTAGGAAATCAGAGATTGCCAGCAGAGGATTGAAGTTCAGTGGTCCCAGGTACATGATCAGACCCTTGTCAATCTGGGGCGTGACCTCCAAGCTAATCTTAGTATTGTTGCAGGCGGCGACGGGCTCGTAGAAGGCATAGCCGCTGCCGTAGAAGGCCACGGAGACGAGTTCGCAATGGGGTCCGGTGAATCCGTCTATGCAGTTGCACACATCGTTCTCGCCGCTCCTCGGAGATCCTCCGTTAAGGCAGCGTCTCATCAAAGGAGCTTCGCACACGCACTGCGCCTGGACAAAGGCATTCACGCCCACAAACGAGGTGGTGTTTGAGTATATCATATATGGAACCGAGCTCTTGTGCAGCTCATTGGTGCACGATTCCTCGCACTTCAACCGCTCGATAAGACACTCGTCGATATTCACCATCAGCATCTGCAGGTCGAGTTCGTTCTCCAAACGCTGCTGGTTCTGGGCCACTATCCCGTTGAGCTTCTCTGGGGCATAGTAGGGCGACCCGTGGGCGGAGTAGCGCACATCCAGCGTATGGTTCTCGTTTTGGAGCACCGTGAACACATCCACGTTGATCACCGAGGTGTTGAACAGCGTGGACAGGGAGTGCTGCAGGCGATCCTTAAGAGACAGGGATTCCGGATTGTCACGCGGCACGCTAATAAACTCCTCCTTGGTTACGTTTATGAATCGAATGCTTCCGCTTTTGTCCACAGCTTCCTCGGGCAGCTCCCGGACCACCACTGTGACATCAGCATCCACAGAGTGACGAGGCACATACATTGACTCCTCGGTCACAACGAACTGGAGATCGTACTCTCCCTCGGCGGTGTGAACCAGCATGGTGATCATTCCCGTGCTGGGATTCAGCCGGAACTGGTCGTGCGGAAGGTCCTTCCACTCGAAGTACTTATCCTCCAGATCCCAGTCATCCGGATCGTCGACGAACACGCGACCAATGTCGGTTTCCGGCGCCTCTCCCTTGTAATTATAGATAAAGATGCGCGACGAGCCCTCAGACATGGCATTGTCGTTGACATCGCCAATAACCAGGTGCAGGATGCTCACCGCACTCTGCCGCGGGACCCCAGAATCACTGATGCGAATGGGGATGAAGTACTCCTTCTGGGCCTCCCGATCAAACTGCACGTTAGCGTGCAAAATGTCCCCATCCATGCTGAACTTTGTCTTGATGTCCGTCGAGGCCTCGCTGTCGATGCCGAAGGTGAAGTTGCCCGCTCCCGGAGTGTCATCGTAGTCATTGGCCAGTAGCTTCACCACATGCCCGGGGTTGCGGTTCTCCTGCCAGTAAACGGGCATTTCATTGATCAGAAACGGGGCGTTGTCGTTAATATCTTTCAAAGTGACCGTGACTTCCTTCACTGTGCTGGCCGTGGTGCCCACGCCATCCTCGTCGCTAGCCTGGACCAGCACCTGCCAGTTCTTGTGGCCGTAGGGTGGGTCGCGGTCCAACGTCTTGAGCAACCGCAGGCAGCCACTGTTGTCTATCGTCCAGCGATTGCCGTCATTCTGGTAAATCGAATAAACAATATGCTGATCGGCGTTGCGATCCTTGATGTCCGGATCGTAGGCCTCCACAGTGAGGATGCAGTCGTCGTAGGTGGTCTCCTCCAGGATTGTGACGCTGTAGTCCTGCTTGAAAACCGGCCGGTTGTCGTTTACGTCCTCGACTTTAATCACCACCGTGGTGTAGTCGTCGTAAATTCCGTCAAAGGCCCGCACCTTCAGCTCGTACTCGGTTATCGTTTCATAGTCCAACCGCTGGTTGACCGTGATCTTGCCAGTCTTAAGGCCAATCTTAAAGGCGTCTCCCACGTTGCCGCTCTCGATGCTGTAGAGGATCTGTGACGCGTTGTCCTCGTCCTCGGCTTTCACCTCAATCACCTCGGTATTGGTGTTGGCGTCCTCAAGCAGCCTCTCCGCCAGATATTTTAACTGCTGAAAGTGCGGCTTGTGGTCGTTCTTGTCGCCAATGGAGATGCGGAACACCTGGTGGCCACGGTTTGGCTCGCCATTATCAAACAAACTCGACGGTGAATTGTCGCTGGCAATCACCTTAACGTTGTAGAAATCACGTTCTTCGCGATCGAAAGTTGTCAAAGCAGTGATGTTACCCGTATTGGGATCGATAGTGAAATACTCCCGGTTGTCGGCCAGCTCGAAGGAAACAATATTGTTGGCTGAAGTGCCGTCCATGTCGAAGGCGCGCACCTGCATCACGGGCGTGCCGGGCGGTTCGTTCTCCAGAATGGTGCCCGATTTCACCTCCGTGTAATACGGGATATTATCGTTAACGTCTTCCACCTGGATTTTGATCTGATGCTCTGTTCCCAGTTCGTGGGTGTTGCGCACAATCATGGTCAGCGTGTAGTCCGTGATGGCCTCGTAGTCCAGTGTCTTGCCCAGGCTAATGGTCACCTCGTTGCCGATCTGATTGAACACGAACGTGTTTTTACTGTTCGTCTGCTCTGTACGGCCGGTATTTAGCTCGAAAATCACCTCCGGCTTGTCCGGCATATTGGATACTGCCTGCAATGTGGCGATTGGATGTGTGAAGTTCTTGATATTCTCTTTCAGGTAGATGGGCGTGTCGATGGGATTCACAAAGGACGGCGGCTTGATTGAAGACTCCACCACCCGGATGCGCACTTCGATCTGCGCATCCTGGGGCGGATCAGGAACAACGTTGTAAGCACGCACGATTATCGCGTAGGACTGTCCGGGTCGCTTGTCAATCGATCGCTTCAGGTAGATAATACCCGACTCCTTGTCGATCTTAAAATACTGGAAGTCGCGCTCCCGCAGAATCTCGTACTCGACTAAACTATTGTTTCCATCGTCGAAATCACTGGCGCTGATAGACATCACCACCGCGTCGGGCTGCAAGTAAAAGGTAAAGATAAGGCCAAAGATATTTGGGGTTTCTGGTTTCCTTCCGCCAGCTCAACTTTCCTGCAAGTTTGCCCAAACTAGTAGCAAACACATGTCCCCGCTGTTCTTCCCTCGACCTCTTTTTTTCAATGCTACCTGAGCCAAAGGCTAAGTTAAACTGAAACCTTTTCGCGGAAATTTAGCTGCTGACAAAGCTTTGTTAAAAAAAACAGCATTTGCTGAAGGCATAAAAAGAGAAAATTCGAATAGGGAAGGCACAAAGGCGTTAATAGGATCAAACGTTGCCGAAGCACTAGTATTTACAAACAATTGGAGGTTTAATATTATTTCTGGAAGATTCTGTTTTCTATTAATTTTATTTAATTTGTGAAAATTCTAATTTTTTGTTTTAATACGTTTGGGAAGTTGTTTTTTAATTTGTTTATTCTAAAAACTTGTAAATATTACTGAATGAACGGAATATTAGCTTCCTAATGTGAATCTAAAACGTTTTTATCTTAAAGTATAAATAATTTTCCTATACATTATTATATATTGTATTTTTCTGACGTAATTTGTATATCTACTCCGAAAATTATTCCCCTACGAGTATTTTTCTAAATTTAGTTTTTAACCCACTCCTCTGCTCGTCGGTTGGCTTGCCTTGTGTTATTTGGTTCGACGGTAAGTTTTTCTAGTCGCAAACATGGAAATGGCGTAAAAGAAAAGCCGGCACAGGGCGTTGGGAAGGGTTTCAAGGTTTCTAGTATCGAGCCGGGCGAGCAATGAACCTAAAACCCGTCTTAAGTGGTCGCCCTCCTACGCCAAGCAAAAACTAGTTCCGCCCAAGAAGATGTTCGCCCATGAACTGGCCGACTGGTTAATTAACACTGTAGGACTGCAGGACGCGCGACAGTTGGGGCGTCTGTCTATTGGAATGGCTGCCCAATGGACGGAGGACGGACGTCGGGAATGATAAATTCCTGAAGGTAAACATAAAAAAACGAGCACCTTAGGCTACCAAATGGTTAGCAAATTCCCTAAAAACACATTATATGGATTTATTGGAATATAATATGTCAATTTGCTTTTTTTTAATTGTACTTAAATTTTTGTTAAAAGAAAAATTGTTTGTGAACCAATTTCTAATGATATTTTATACATTTTTTGAAATCCAGAAAAATAAAATTTTCGCCATTTTAATGTAATATAACAAATTCGTAATGCATTTACGACTAAGTGGAGTTTTTTTTAAACCTTTTGTCTGGAAGTAACTTAATACTCAAAAAAAAATAATACGCCTTTGAAGGCAAGATTTTGGATAACTGTTTTTGCATTTAGGAACGTTTGCATCAGAATCCAATTTTTTAAGTTAAGTCCCTAAGACATACTCCAAAACCCAGGTTCCATTTTTTAATGGTTGAAAATTTAGTTGAACTGGGTACATGACATCACAGGAGGGGAGCAAAATCGAACGAAATGACATCACTCTGGCACCGACCCACTAACTTGGCCAAACCGCAGTAATCCGGGGTCCGCGAGTTTGGCAAGCAGTGACGGACAGAGTGAGCCGACTCCAACTCTAAGGCCCTACACTCACCTGGGCATTTTCCGACATGGACTCGTCGTAGCGCGCCTTGTTGAAGGCCGGAGCATTGTCGTTGATATCCTCAATGGTCACGTTGAAGGTGCAGACGTCGTCCAACGGGGGCAGGCCATTATCCGTGGCCTGGACAGTGACGAAGACGAACTTTTCGTGGATCGGCTCGTCGCGGTCGAAGGTGTGGGTGGTGGAGATCACGCCCGAGCTGGGGTTGATAAAGAACTTAGGTCGCTCGAACGGCGACTGGACGAGGCTGTAGCGGATGACCTGTTCGGGATCGGGGTCTACTGCCTCCACGGTGAGCACGTAGGTGTTTTCCGGCTGCTCCTCCTTGACCTTGGGAGCGTATCCGGCGCAGTTCTTGAAGGCGGGCTTTCGATTGTCGGTGAAGTTCTGGCCTGGCGGCGATAGGATTGCGAGGGCGGGTGACAGGATACTGAGCGCCACGAGGACGGCCACAAGTGGTCTCGCGGGGATTAGTCGTCGGCCTAAGTCGCGGCATTTTCGCTTGTGCTGCTGGTGTGTCTGTTGCTGAGCGGGATTGAGGTCGCCGGCCTGTTGGGACACCGACATGATGATGCAGTGGCTTCTGGACAATCGCTGGACACTGGTGGACATGCTCCTTAGCGGCGATCCGCCATCTCTAACACTCTTTGTCAGCCGGACCACTACTTTTGAGCACTTATTTGTGAATCACCCAGTATTATTTTGTCCACTCACTCACACTTCGGCACACCTTTACTTTTACGTGCTCTGTTTGTATTGCCACTTCTATTTCTATTTGCACTTTTCTCGTTTCTCGTTTTTCTCAGTGTGCCGTTTGTTTGGACTGCATTTTCATGGCAACCGCTCAATTATCTATTCAATCGAAATCGAACTCGTACAGTGCGCCCTGTGATTGTAAACCGACTTATTCCGATTTCGATGCAGCTGCTCATCCAGTTATTTCGTTCACTTTTATCTTTCACTCGTCCGCTTTGGCACTCTCTCTCTCCCTCGCCCTCTCTCTTTCGCTTCGCAAACAGGTAAGACCAGGTAAAAAAGTGGTTACACGCACACCACTAGCGCGCGCATTTGTGTGTGCCTCGGTCCCTGCGTTGGTATGTGTGTTACCAACTCTTGGTTAAAAAAGGCACTTTTCGCAGAAATTTCGTTACGATTTGTACACTTTGGCGAATTAAATTCTTCAATTAGATCGCAAAACAGAAGTTTGTTCACTGTGATCGTTTTGTTCGCGAGTAAGTGCGAAGCTGCGAGAGCAAACCGATTTTGAAACTGCGATCGACGCGCGAGCCAACCGCCCAATTCAAAAGCAACAAAAAAATTGAGCGGTGAGCGGCAGTTAGCGCTAGTGATGGTGGAAGACCGTCGATGCCGACAACGATGTAATCGATGTTTTCAGGAAATCGGCATATCGATGTTTGTCGGGGAGTCATCGCTCTTTTTTCGTCTCTAACAAGTATCAATAATCTCACTCCAGTTCTAGCTCACGTTAACTATTGCACTCCAGTTCTTTCGCACTCTATTAGTTTCCACTCCAGCTATAACGCACTGTTAATCCAGTGCAAAATGCATATTGATCATAGCACTGTAAAATAAGTTTGCTAGTCTGCCGAAATATATAAATAAAAGTTTTAAAAATTCTAAAAAAACAAATATTTCATATTTATTATTTACCAATACAAACATTACAAGCACCCCCCAATCGAACGCTTTTAGTGAATTAAATAAAGCACCATTCGAAGTTGAAGACAACACAATTCAAATTTTATTGTAACAGTTTTTTCAACATCGATAAGTAATTGACGTTTTCCGCCAAAAAACATGGCTAACTTCGATATATTTTCGAAAAAATAAATATTTACACCGTGACATTTTTTGACTATCCTTAAATATACGATATGTTATTCTTTCCTTTATTGTTTTGATGACTGTGGTTTTTTTAAGCTCATGCTAAAAGTCGTCACAAAAATACTTGGGATTTCATTTTTTAGCCATAGGTTTCCGATCTTTATTAGGGGTGACTTAAGAAGTATGATGAAAAGATTCCCATATTGAAAACAAGTGCGACTCACTTCATGCATATACCAATTAAATGTACCTATTGTTTTAAATTTTCGATTCCCATATCATATACATTTATTTACTGTAATGTGGATTAAGAAAAATTAATAAATTATGTGAATAATATTATTTTAAAAATAAATGTTAAGCATTTAAGAGTTCTAAATAGTGTAAGTAACAACTATTTTGTATTAAAGTTAAAAAATAAATTTTGGACATGATATTTGAAAGAAATGATAAGTTGGTGCGGAAGTGACCGAAAACAAATTTATTTTATGCCATTTAAAATTCTTGAAATAACATAAATTAATTAGAGTCTTTCTTTTTCGCACTTGCCTGTTAAGGATTATTGGTTATTATAAGAGAAACTTTCAGATGCACTAAATTTTGGATGAGTTAAGTTTTTATACCCTTGCAGAGGGTATTATAATTTTGGTCAGAAGTTTGTAACTATAAAGTATATATATTCTTGATCAGGATCAATAGGGGAGTCGATATAGCCATGTCCGTCTGTCCGTCTGTCCGTCCGTCCGTCTGTCCGTCTGTTTCAATACCGTTTGCGAGCTCAGTTTAAAAGCTAGCGATCTGAAACTTTCACAGTCGTCCTAAAACAAGTGTACGCAGATCAAGTTTGAAAACCGCCCCGATTGGATGTCTATATCCTATAGCTCCCATAGGAACAATCGGATATAACTTGCAAGAATGGAAGATATTTCGCGCAGTGTAAAAGCTATTGACATAAATCTTTCCAAATCTTATTTTTTTTATGCGTACCTTGATCAGAGTAAAAGCGCGTGACGATCGGACGTCTATATCCTATAGCTCCCATAGGAACAAAAGGGTAAAATCGGTTAAAATTTAATGATTTTTAGGATATTTCACGCAGTATACAAGCTATTGACATGAATCTTTCCAAATCCTATTTTTTTTATGCATACATTGATCAAGGTGAAAGCGCGTGCCGATCGGACGTCTATATCCTATAGCTCCCATAGGAACAATAGGGTGAAATCGGTCCAAATTTGATGATTATCAGAATATTTCGCGCAGTGTGTAAGCTACTTACATAAAATTTTCCAATTCTTATTTATTTTCGCATATCTTGATTAGGGTAAAAGCGCTTGCCGCTCGGAAGTCTATATCTTAAAGGAGATAGGAAAAATTGTTAAAGGCTGCGAAAGTATCCCTTTTGTATATGACATTTTTGCAGTATAAAAGCAATTGACTTGAAACGATGCAAATCTAGTTTACTTATGAATACCTTATTCCTTTCGCTACTTTTTCACTTTTAGCAATTTCGTCAAAGTCTGCAAGGGTATTAAAACTTCGGCTTGCCGAAGTTAGCTTCCGTCCTCGTTTTTTTTAATTATGACACTTAACACTTATTAAGCTAATTTATGCAAAAGTTTCAAAGAACTTCATTAGATAGTTCTTTGTTAATAAAGATGAAAAGATTAAAATATTTACTAAGATTTTAATATAATACATATATGATTTTATTATAATACATACTTTTTACGGCTTTGTTAGCTTGTTTAATTGGCTTGCCTTGGATTTTTTCTTAATTCAAGCTAAAAAGTATTTAAATGACTAAAACATCACTAAAATGATGATAAAGAAGAATATCGCCGAGTGGCTGTTTTAGAAGGAGAAACATATATGTAATTCCATAACCCAATTTAGTTGTTTGATAAAACAGCACTTAGAAAGTGCTTTTGTCTAAACGTATTCGATCTTTTAAATAAAACAACTTACTCGCCTTATGAAAAAACTATTTTAGGAAAGCTCAAAAATTTTGTCAAAATCATAAATAAAACATAAATAAACTTAAATTTCCTGGCAGATTAAAAAAAACATTCAGGATTGACATGATATTTAGTGATGTTAATACAGTTAAAAGACTTAATAACAAGTTAGAAAGACTTACGGGTTTTTTCTGGTGCCGACAAATAAGAACTTTGATTAGCTTAATAATTGTATATATTTTTTGTTTAAAATAATAACCATATGGCAATATGTTTGAAAACGAATTCAAGCGAGCCGCCCAACCTTTGCCATTCTCATGTCGGCTTATGTTGCAGTGGAGTCCGGCCATAAAGAACAATCATGAAGAGTAGAAGGTACAGGTACATAAGTATCGCCCATCACTAGCATAGAGTGAAAAAAACACTGAATCGAATCGTCATCGTCTTGGCCCATTAATTGCGGAGAAAAAAGATTGCAAATCGCTGCAGAGACGACTAAAAGGGTTGAGAAAGAGTTCGAGCGATACCGCAACGACCAAGCACGCCACACCGAAATCCCGGTCAGAGCCAGAACCCAGGGAACCGGAAATCAAACCAAACCAAACAACCGCCCCTGCCCCGAATTCGTGAATCACCCAGTGGAACTATGGAGCAGACCCCGATCACCGATGCGGAGAAGGTGCGCATCGTGTCGGACTTCATCCTACACGCGCCGCCCGGCGAGTTTAACGAGGTGTTCAACGATGTGCGCGAGCTCCTTAAGAACGACACCCTGCTGAAGGATGGGGCCAGCCACGCCTTCGCCCAGTATAACAAGGATCAGCTGACCCCGGTCCGCATCGAGGGCACCGACCACAACGCCATCATATCGGAGCACAACGATCTGGGTGAGTGGGATCCATAAGCAAATACCCATAAATGGTCAAAGCCCCTGCATGAGTCACAAACTAAATGCTTGGGCTTTTGGTTGATATCTCCACCCCCACTGATAAGCAATTGCATTCCAGGCAACGGTCGCTTCTACGATCCGCGCACAAAGCAAGCCTTCAAATACGACCACCTACGGAAAGAGGCCTCCGACTACCAGGATGTGGAGGCGGATGCCAGCGCGGAGCCCTGGAGGGCCGCTCTGGACCTGGAGACGCTCGCCTACACTGCCAGTCACTATAGACACGGGGTATGCCCACAAGAGTAGCTCTCTTACATTCGATAACCAGCTAATTCACTCCACAGGTCAGCTCAGTCTTCGGAAAGGCGCAGGGGAACCAGATCACCCTGACTATTTGCATCGAGGACCACCAGTTCCAGCCAAAGAACTACTGGAACGGCCGATGGCGCTCCCAGTGGCATGTCAGCTTCCAGGCGGGCAACGGATCCGCCGAGCTGAAGGGCGTTCTGAAGGTGCAGGTGCACTACTACGAGGATGGCAACGTGCAGCTGGTGTCCTCGAAGGAGTGCCGCGAGAGCGTGGTGGTCAGCAACGAACAGCAGCTGGCCAAGGAGGTGATCCGCCTGATCGAGGAGGCCGAGAACGAGTACCAGCTGGCCATTTCGGAGAACTACCAGACGATGTCAGACACAACTTTTAAGGCCATGCGCCGGCAGTTGCCTATCACCAGGACCAAGATCGACTGGAGCAAAATTGTCTCGTACAGCATTGGCAAGGAGCTGAAGACGCAATAAGACCAGGAGGTGCAAGCGGAAGAGGAGCGGACACAGTCGACGAAGCGGCCCAACAGTCTTCCACTTGCAATGGCCAAGCGAGCATAGGAACCGATCATCAGCATTAACACCACGACATCCAAACAGAAGCAGCAGGAATACGAATACGAGAGCGGGCAGGTGCCTGCCCAAATAAAATGTCTGTAACTGGCTATATACATACGAACATATACCTACATATATATACAGCGTGTATTTATACTGTGTTATATAACGACGAAAGTGCATATACATAACTATAACGTCTACGATCGGAGACAATTTGATTGCAAGCATTTGGATGACATTAGCCTGACGGTGAACGATGATGCACTGCTGCCTCGTCTGAGTCACGATCGCCACCAATTGTCGCCTTTATCGTTTAAGAAAGAGCATTAAACGCGGATTTTATCATGTCCTTTGACCTATGTATTATTCTAATTTTAAACAAATCAAACACGAGATCTGCGCTCTAGATGGGCCAGCGAATTCTTCGATTCGGGAAACCAAACAACCGACTCTCGACTATTTTAAGCGCTATTATTAGAGCACCCATTCAAGTTTTCTGCTTTCCCGATTGTTCACCACCACCTAGCATGAGCATGAATATTAACTAAGCTAAACCACTGATCATTTTTGCCAGCTCTCCATTGACAAACAATAACTGAAGACTTTGATTTTATAAAAACAATAAATTTGTAATTAAAATAACATAACTATAAAACATTTAAGATTGCTTGAATTAGTCAAATTTAATGAGAATAAACTAATTGAATCGGAAATCGTGGTTACTTTGAATGCGTTTCCGCTTGTTCGGCGTTTAAAAGTTTTGTTTCGGAGGGAGTAACATCGGAATCTACTTGCTGGGCGGACAGTTTGCTAAGACTCTCGGGCAGACCGAAGGTTAGTTCTTCGGATTTCTTAAGCAGAAATCGCTTATCGGGATTAAGTTTGGTTTCCAGCTCCAGTCGGTCAATCAGCCAGCCCCTATCCGGCTGATGGGAGGCCCAGAAATAGAGAGTTCCTGCGGATATAAGATTGTAGTTACTCGCATTATCTGGAATAAAATTCCATTGGTTTACCTTTATCTTTGCTACCCCGCACGGAAACCTCGAAATGCGCCATCTCTGCGTTGCAATTGTTGTTGGCGTTGGACAGATCAATGCCAGAATCTTTGATGGGCTCCCCCAGGAGACCCACAGCTCCTCGATGATTCCGCAAAGCTTTTAGCGCCAGTTTGTAGTAGTCGCAGGATTTCACCCGATCCTCCATCTTCCAGCGCATGTACATCACGCCAGATATGGAGGCCACGGCACCGTAGACGCAAATGTTTCCCAGGGTACGATTGGAGGGCATTCTTAGTCTCACCATTTTGTCAATTTTTAATTCAAGTTATCCGTTGTTACTTGTGTAATAGTCGTTATTGCCGGTGCCGCATTAGAGATGACATTCGTCCGATATTTTCTTTTCTAACCAAATAACTGACGTAAAAACCATATAATAAATATCAAGGCGATAATTAATAAATTTTATTGCAGCTTATCATTCAAAAAATAGGATTACAATTTTTATAAGTTTGATTTATGATTCCAAAATAAAGTTGGTGTTGATTATTTATTACCAAAAGTCCATCTCTAGTTTTGTTGCTAACAAAAATATTGACAGAAATAAACTTCAGTTTAGCCTTCATTGCGCTCAGTTAATGTTAATAACATCTTATAACTCAATTGGTGTTTAGCAATCACTTTTTATTTGGAAAAATTCGTTGATTGTTATTTGTTTTGATAAACCAGCTGACAGTTTAGGTCTGCCCGTATTTTTTGACAGGGCTGCATCGTCGGCCTTACATTTCGCAGATTATACAACAAAACGTTTAGTTTTGTAAATAACTTACAGTAATTTAACAATTGTTTGTCAATTAAAGTGACAATTTTGGAGTAAATAAAACACACAGCAAATATGAGCAACTTTACAGCGGTTTTCCAGTTGGTAAGGCAGCGTTTGATGGCCCCAGCGATAGGAAACTCCGCACGTTGTTATGCCGTCAAACCGGCGGCGCCAGGTGAGCCTTTACATCATAGTTAATTAAATATGTAACTAACAATAACCAATTTCCGAAGCGGGCAAGAAGAAAAAGCTGGGAAAGCTAGGACCCATCATGGAGAAAAAAATCATTCCCGTGGAGACGGATGCCAACAAACTGGTGAACTACGTGTGCGGTAGCAACTACCTGAAAACGGGCGAGGATGTCAAGGTGAGCCATCTGACTAAAATTCCTAGGATGTGGACTAATCTAATCTAATCAGATCAAACCTGATGCTGAGTACCCCGACTGGCTGTGGTCCCTGAACACGGAGCGCATTATCCCGCTGGACGAACTGGATCCCAACACCAAGCAGTACTGGCGACGCCTAAGGAAACTGGCCCTGCGGCGCAACAACCAGCTGGCCAAGCTCAAGAAGTTCTAGACCCCGTAGCCCTAGGTGTTATCGTTGATTTTGGAGACCCGACCCTCAAGGCGACCCATGTTGTTTGCCATGCTCTTCTGAGCAACAAGTGTGCAAACACTATGTTTTCCCTTATAAAAAAACCAACCGCAAATACATTTCACACCTTCATACCCTCCTTATCAATAATCGAGATGCTATAAAAGTCGTCGAGTTGCGGGTAACATTAAATTAGTGGCTAAGAAATGGGGAACGGACATGGTTTGGTTACGCTGCTCCTCGGGGCGATCCTGATGGGAGCATCCTCTTTCGTACAAGGCAACTCCTCAAGTAAGTAGCTGCCTTTATTTCATCACGGGTTATCAGAGTAATCCCCGTGCAGAGCACGTTGTCTGCTACCAGGGCACTTGGTCCGTTTATCGACCTGGTCTGGGCAAGTTCGGCGTGGAGGATATCGATCCGTTCCTGTGCACCCACCTTATCTACGCCTTCCTGGGCATTGAGGAGACGGGTCAGCTGCGGGTGATTGACGCTTACTTGGACCTCGAGGATAACAGTGGACGCGGCAATATTAAAAGCTTCAACGCTCTTAAACTAAAGAATCCCGTGCTAAAGACTTTGGTGGCCGTGGGTGGTTGGAACGAGGGTTCCAAAAAGTTCTCTGTTGTGGCCCGAGATCCTTTGAAGCGAGCAAAGTTCGTAGACGATGTGGTCAGGTTCTTGCAGCGCCATGGTTTCGACGGCCTAGATCTGGACTGGGAGTATCCCAACCAGCGTCACAGTCTGGAGAACGAGGATCGCTCTAACTACATTACATTTTTGAAGGAGCTGAAAGAGGGGTAAGCTAAAAGGGATTCTTATGTGTTTTGACAAGCTTTGACCTTTTAGTGTAACCCATTCTTAGACTGGAACCCTTTAGCTTTATGCTCAGTGCCGCTGTAGGATCCGCCCAGTTCTCCGCTGAATTATCCTACGACATTCCGGCCATTGTTCCGTATCTGGACCTCATCAATGTGATGGCCTATGACCTGCACGGTCCTTGGGACGAGGTAGTGGGCATCAACGCCCCTTTGTATGCCGCTGCTGGTGATGCCAGCGATTCCACCGGCCGAATGCAGCAACTAAACGTGGACGCCATAGTTAAGTACTGGCTGCTGGCAGGTGCTCCGCCAGAGAAACTGGTCGTAGGAGTTCCCTTTTACGGGCGCACCTTCACCTTGACCACTCCCGATGGAAATCAGCCAGGATCTCCGCATATCGGAAAGGGAATTGCGGGGAAGTACTCCCGCGAACCGGGTGTCCTGGGCTACAACGAGCTCTGCGAGCTGATGCAGCAGGAGGAGTGGACCCAGAAGTGGGAGTCGGCACAACAAGTGCCCTATGCTTTCCGGCAGCGCCAGTGGGTGGGCTACGAGGACACGCGTAGCCTGTCGCTCAAGGCGCAGTATGTGATGGACCACCATTTGGGAGGCATTATGATCTGGTCCCTGGAGTCGGACGACTTCCGCGGAACATGTGGCCAGCAGAGATATCCCCTGCTGCACGAGATCAACCGCGTGCTCTTCGGCGCCAACACTCCCACTGGTTTGACCCAGGAGTCGAGCGATGACAAGCCCAGTGAGGGGTTCCGCTGTCCAGCTGGAGCTCCTGAGGGATATGTTCGCGACCCGGACGACTGCACGAAGTTTTACTACTGCAGTGGGGGCAACACCCACAGTTTTAACTGTCCTGTTGGACTGAATTTTGACCTAAGCACAAAAAGCTGCGATTACTCCAGCTCAGTAAAATGCTAGCCTTTGTTTTTCTAACCAAAATCTTTATTAATGGGATCTAGTCAACGATCTTGAGGTTTATCGGCATGTTTTTAAAGTTGTAAACGGGCATGCCCGGTCGCCAAATGACGAATTTCTTATCACACTTGACCTCAGCGGCGGGTCGGCACTTGACCTGGGACTCGTCGAAGTACTGACCCTCGGGGCACTCGTAGTAGATCCTTTCCCCATTGCGACACTCGTAGTACAGCCGGCAATCCCAACCATCGCGCCAAAATCCATCATGTGGGCACAGTCCAGCCACCTCGGTGGTGGGCTTTTCGGTGGTAAGGGCATTCTGGTCTCCTAGCGCCGAGAAGATTACGCGAAGTAACCCATGGCGCTCGCCACAAGCTCCCCGGAAGTCGTCTACGTCGATGGTCCAGGCCATGGCGCCGCCCATTTTCTGCTTCTGCAGCAGATGCATCTTGGCCCAAATGCTTTGCGCGTTCTCGTAGCTCACCCACTGATCTCCCCTCATGGCGTAGGGCACCTTGGCCACCTTGTCAAACTTCCTCGTCCAGCTGAACTCCTGCACGCACCACTCGTTGTAGGTCATGAACCCTGCTCGGCGGGATACCATAGTTTGGTTGCCGGGTCCTCTGCATGGTGATCCTACCGCCGTCTGGTTTTTATCCATGGTGTAGGAGCGCACAAATAGCGGGATGCTCAGGATGAGCTTCTCCGGGGACTTTCCGTGCCTTTTCCAATGATTAATGGCATCTGTTACGCTATTTTCATTCCCACGGAGCGGAGCATTGTAACCCAGGCGCAGGCGGTACGAATCCCGCTCGTCGTGCAGCATCAGATGGACGAAGTCGGAATTCTTTACTATCTCGGGGATGTTATAGCTTTCCAGGGTTCGTTTGTTCAACCGTCCCAGCACAGCTACCATAAGGATAAACTTGTGCTCTCGAAAGCTGTCGAAAGAGGAAATTTCTAACCAGACCATAAAACACTACCCCAGAGTCTCACATTAATCCCAGCTCCTCCAGCAGGAGTACAAAGTTCTTCCGGTCCTCTGACTGTCCGCCGCGTTGCGTGGGATAGCGCCAATCTATCTGCACACCATCGAATCCCCACTCGTACATGAACTCTATCATCGAGGTGTAGAAGTTGTCCCGCGTGTTTGGGGTCGCCGTCATTCTGGAAAACAGCTTGGACTCTTCTTGCCATCCACCGACGGTGAACATCACCTTCTTAATACTGTCACTCTTCATATTTTTAACGCTGCTCAGCATGTCTACAGATTACACCGATTATAGGATTCGATTTTACAAAAGTAATAACTATCCAAATATGTACAGTTTTTGAATAATTACTATATCTTAGACTTGTACGAATACGATTCTATTACTTATGGCTATACTTACTCTTCTCCAAGAGCAGATTATTGTCAGTGATCTTCAGTTTTCCGGTCTCTTCGTCAATACCTAAGCCGGAACCAATGACCAGGTGAGTGCAAAGCCTGGAGTCCACGTTCCAGTCAAGAAACTGACTGCGTTCTTTGAAATAGTAGGAGGCCAAATCATATTGACAGAAGATGTTATCTGCGGAGATAATTGGTAGGTTGCTCAACGAATTGCACGACGATCTACTTACACTCTTTTGCCGCACAACCGCAGATCAGAAATATTATTATCATTAAAACACACTTAAAAGACGCCATGACAAAAACTAACCTAACTTAAAATTTTAACAATTTTTGGCGGATCGCACATAAAGCGAATTGATTTAAGCCTTACTTCCTTAAGTTTTAGTTTAAATTTATTACCAGACTTGTTTAAGTGTTCCGAGTTTCGTGTTGTTCCTGAATAAATGTCGTTTAGTTTAAAGAAAACTTACTCTGGAAAAGCACCGATAACTTGATGCATATTTATTTTTGAAATGTGGTGTTAAAAAACTCGTTCCTTGTATTAAAGCTAGATTTAGTTATTTAAGTGGTAGGACACAACATGTCCTCTTTAAAAGCGATAATCCCTACGTCATTAAGACTATTTATTTAACTAGTTCGACCAATCCTGGAGTACTGATCACCAGTTTGAAGTCCATATAGACCGGATAGAGCCTGTGTAACATAGCTTTTATATATACTTACCCTTTTAGAGTTGGCACTACTTTTATAAGTAAATATATTCACGGGAATGTGGAGAGTCCCGAGTTACTGAGTCGCCTATCTTATTGTTCATAGATATGCATAAGCGTTTTAGAGGCCTGTGTAATTATTATTTTAGAATATATCATAGGGCTTACACTATCTTTTGCAATCTTAAAATCATTAATTTTATTATATAGCACGAAATCAAAAAATATCTTGTTCCGTGTTATCATTTGAATACATAACCCTTGCAGGGAATATTACAATGTTGCTTAGATTTCTGTAAAATCAAATGACGATGCCCCATAACAGGTTTGTAGTCATAATAACGTTCCAACTATTTTCTTAGAACCAAAAATACTTCTGTCATGTTACTACAATGCGAGCAATTTAACGTTCTTTTTCATTACCTCACCTATATGTACATATATGATTCTATTTAACAAGTCAACAAGTTGTTTTCCTCTTTATCATTATTTCAATATTGAAATTGAATCATTTGCAGTTGCCTCATGGTCTATCTTATACCTTTCCATTAAGTCCGCTTACGGTGACTAAGAATTTTAATTGTAAATAGCTTTATGAGAACATTAAATCTAATCTGGATTTGTCTAGTCATAAATATGGATTTATAAGATTACTTAAGCGGCCACTTGAAAAATTAAATTTCACAGATTATTGCAATTGTGTTGTTTATTTTCATTTGCTGTTTATTTAATAGGGGCAATTGACCTCCGACTCCCAGTTGCAGATTTTGGTGCTGGGTTCAAAATACAGTCCCTCCCCGCATTGGAAGTCGTATCGGATGCCATCGGCGCACTCATAGAAATGTCTGCAGCTGTTGCTGCTCCAGAAGTAGCCATTTTCGGAGCAGTCTCCACTGGAGCCACCTCCGTTGCCACCACTTCCTCCTCCGGGAGTGGGTGTCGGAGTGGGAGCGGCAGTGGGAGCCGGGGTTACACTGCCTCCTCCTCCGCCACCACCTCCTCCGCTCACTTCCTTACCCATGGCTCGGTTCATGGTCTTCAGCAGGGGATAGGTCTCACCACAAAGGCCACGGAAGTCGTCCGTCTCGATGGACCACATCATGGCACCACCCAGGTTGCGGGACTCCACCAGCTGCATCTTCAGCTGGATGCTCTCCGGGTTGTCATATCCGATCCACTGATCGCCCTGGAAGGCATACGGAGCACCGTTCTCCTGATCGAAAACGGAGTTCCAGTTGTTCAGACAGATCTCGTGATAGCCCAGGAAACCATTCTCGCGGGTGTAGACGCCGGCAGATCCGGGGCCGATGCAGGAAGCACCGGGCCAGTTCTGCGAGCTGTCGGACATCTGGTAGCTGTGGCCATAGAAGCCAATGCCCAAGATCAGTTTCTCAGCGGGGGCACCTGGGCGAAAAACATTGGTTTAGTAATGGTATGCCATGACACCTAAGACTCCACTACTCACCATGGGATAGCCAATAGTCAATGGACTCGGTAACCTCGGGCAGGGGAGCGTTCAGACCCAGATAGCCATCCAGAGCCATGTGGAAATCGTAGGTCATCACATTGATGAAGGTCAGGTGCTGGGAAATGGCCGGAATGTCGTAGGAGATGCTGGCCGACTTTTCGGAGGCACCCACAGCAATACCCAGTTCCAGTCCATACTTATCATACCTGATGATGATGATTTATATCCATTAGTCTATCCCAAAAAATACCCACCATTATAACCACTCACGTTTCCTTGATCTCACGCAGCAGAGTCACGAAGTTCTCGCGATCCGAATCGGCTCCTCCTCGCTGTCCAGGATACTCCCAGTCCAGATCCAGGCCATCGAAGCCATGCTGTTGGATGAAGGCCAGGGAGGTGGCGACGAAGGTGGCACGCTTGGCAGGATCGGCGGCCATGGCCGAGTACTTGGTGGAGCCCTCATTCCAACCGCCCACGACAGCCAGAATCTTCAGTTTGGGATTGCGCTGCTTCAGGGCAATCGTCTGACTAATGAAACCTATGTAGAAATGGTATAGTTGTCATAATTTTAAAGAAGTTCTAGCTAAGGAACTTTTATTTAACTTACTCAGTCCATCGTCCATGTCCAGCCAGGTGTCCAGGGACTTGAACTCGCCGGCATCGCTGATCCCGAAGAAGGTGTAGCTGATGTGGGTGCACAGGGAGGGATCGATGTCCGAGGGGGTGAACTTGCCGTCGCCGGGACGGTAGTTGGCCCAAGTGCCCCAGTAACAGTTGATCAGCTCTGCGGAATGGATGGAATAAGACGCCAATCCCTGGACAATCTGCATCAATTACTTACTTTCGCTACTGGCCACTTGGCCGAGACTAAGGCAAAGAGCTGCCAAAGCCCAAATCGAGAATGCTTTCATGATGCCCTCAGTGAGTTATTTTCGCAATAGATTCGCGTATTATGGGTCGGCGTTTATATAGGCCATTTCTTAGGCAATTTCTTATCAGTATACATTGCCAGTATTGATAAATCGCCACTTCATCGTTCAAATAAAAATGAAAGTGTAATATATTGCATTATGTGGGGGACCGAAAACACAATGGCCTATATCTGTACACATACCACTCTTATTTTATATTAAGCTTATAAATTTAAATTTATTATTCGAATTTTAAGTGCATCTTTAGATTGGAATGATGGTGCTCGTATCGCACCCCACTCGAACACGCACTGTGTCATCGTCCTGGATAGTGATTCAAAATCTGTTGCTAGCTACTTTAAAAACCTCTTCAATAATAAAGCGTAAACACAACAAATACACCTTATTCTAGGAACATGAATAAGAATGACCACATTTATTGTGCGATGATTTATTTATTAAGCCATAAAAACGATTCTTCCGTAAAAGTTCATTGTTTACTTTTCACCTGAGAATATGCCTTACTTGCGGTTTTTTTTAGACAATCTCTTTGACTTTAGTAATAAGCCACTTCTCTTATGAAATCGGAGGAAATAAAAAACGGCGTTAAAAAATGAATGTTTAAAAAAATGTGTTTAACTAAGTTATATCCAAACCGTTTCAAATGCGGTAAATACTTGATTAGTAATATAATTAGTTTGGCCGTTTCGGGTTGCTTGTAATTAAGTTTAGAATATAACGATGCAAAATGTATCATAAATATCTGTACGTCTTCTTAAATTGTAATATAGTGAAAGAGATTTAGCCGTACATAAAAACAATGAAAATATGTCGATTTTCTAATACATTTTTTAAGTGCTTAATTTTTATAAATATTTTTTAAATCAAAAAACCTATTATAAATCCAGTTATATCCTTAAATGTTGAAAGACAAACAAAGGTTCATAAATTTACGTTATTTCATATAAATTTGACAAAGAAGGGTGGCCAAATTTAATATTATTTGTCTACTTATTTCGGCTCTTTCCTATGAGAGCTACATGATTTAGTCCACTGACTTTGATACAATTAAAGTCAAATTTTTTAAAACATAAATATTACTAGGGCCGTTCCGACTTATACTACTACTAAAATAAAAGAAAACTTTTCATCCAGAAACCAAGAGACTAGTTTTAGTTGAGACGGACTGTTGACTAGTCATAGCTTTATTAACTTGTCTAGTGATGCTAATCAATAATGTATTAGTAGGGGTAAATAAACAGTAAAAATCCTAAACAAATCTCACTGATGATTTTTCGGAACGGTTCGTTGGAACGTCAATAATCGACAAGGCATTAGATGTATTTTTTGATCAGTTTTGGAGTACAATTTCTCAGAGCTGAGACAAATTCTAAAGAGGTTTCTGTTCATCGAAAAAAACAATAATGCAAATTCTGTTTTTACATTTTAAAACATTTATTCTTTTCAATTGAAATCTCCATTTACCAACGCAGCTTCCTGTTGATGGTCTTGAGCAGAGGATAGGTCTCGCCGCAATTGCCGCGGAAGTCGTCCGTCTCCAGGGACCAGATCATGGCTCCGGCCAGGTTGTTACGCAGGGCGAAGTCCATCTTGTACTGCACGCTGAGCACATTGTCGAAGCTCACCCACTGGTCGCCGGAGAAGGCGTAGGGAGCGGCATTGTCGTAGTCGAAGACGGTGTGCCAGTTGTTCTGGCAGATCTCGTTGTAGCCCAAGTATCCAGTGGAGCCGGAGTAGGGTCCAGCGGCACCCTCGCCGCGGCACGGTGCTCCAGGCCAGTTCTGAGAGTTATCGGACAGCTGGAAGGAGCGTCCGTACATGCCGACACCGAGCACCAGCTTGTTGGCCGGGGCACCCTGGCTCATCCAGAAGTTGATGGCGTTCTCCACGGCCCACTGGGGCGCATTGAAGCCGGTCTTACCCTCGGAGGCCATGGCAAAGTCGTAGGTCATCACGTTGATGAAGTTGACGTGCTGAGCAATGTTGGCGATCTCGTAGGATCCGCTGGCAAGCGACTCGCCGGCACCCACAGCAATTCCCAACTCGTAGCCATAGGGAGCAAAGCTGCAGGAAATAACCGATTAATTTGGAGACCTCCCAGTGTGGAATCAGTACTCACGCTTCCTTAATCTCGCGCAGCAGGGTCACAAAGTTGGCGCGGTCATCCCAGTTGCCGCCACGCTGGTTGGGATACTCCCAGTCCAAGTCCAGGCCGTCGAATCCATGGTTGCGCAGCAGGTTCAGGGCCGAGTTGATGAAGTTCTGGCGCTTGTACCAGTCGCGGGCCATCGCGGAGTACTTGGTGGAGCCCTCGTTCCAGCCGCCGACCACGGCCAGGACCTTCAGGTTGGAGTTCTGGTTCTTCAGGCCAACAGCCTGGCTGATGAAGCCCAGATCGTAGTCCAGCCAGGTGTCCAGGGACACAATCTCGCCGCTGTCATTGATGCCGAAGAAGGAGTAGCTCAGGTGGGTGCACAGGCCGGCGTCGATGTTGGACACATCGAATTTGCCATTGCCGCTGTTGTAGTTGGCCCAGGTGCCCCAGTAGCAGTTGACGATGCCTGGAGATCCACGAGTTATAGCATAAGATTACCTCCCAATAGCCAAATACTTACGCTCAGCACCGATCACCTGGCTCAGGCAGAGGACTGCGAGTAGTGCCAAAAGTTTTGCCATTGCATAGAATGCTTGTAGAGTCCAGTTCCAACGAGGTATTTATACCTTTCTTTGAGGACCTTATCACTAACCTTATCGGTACGGCCAGTTGCTTGTCGCGTGCTTCATGCTTTGAATTTTAATATTTATACCAGGGACTCGTATCTGTATCTGAAGTTGAGATTCATTTTTGTTTACAATCCCTTCAGTTGTAAATTCTCTCAAGAGGTGCTTCACTTTAGAATTCACTTTGGATTCAATACCCGGTATTCTGCTATAAGGACGGCATTCTGGATACGTTAGAATTGCAGTATCCCGAAGTAAAAGTGCGTGTAAGAAAGAAGGTTTTATGGGACATAATCATTTTAACAAACACCTGGGCTAAATTAAACAGGAAATGTTCGAAAGTCATATTGTTACGTTAAGCCATTATATTTAAGAATAGAATTCGAACGCCTGTCATTAAGGTCCAATTTCTCAGAACGCTGACCTGGTGAAATCTACCTATATTATACGTAGGCATCTAATAAAAATATAAAACTTAATTTTTATTATAATACACTAGAATCCGGTTATAACGGCTCCGCTTGTAGTGTCCGTCCGGTTATTGCGACGAAAACTCGGTGGCTTGGTTTGTATAACGACGTAAAATCGTCGGTCCCTTGAAAGTCGCTATAACCAGATTCTACTGTATTTTTAATTTCATTTTTATTAATCAAATTTTGTATCCTTTTTGTATGTTTAGAATATGATTTCACATATCATTATTAATTTATGTAAACTAAAGGTAAGATATGAAAACAGTGTAATATAAATTACCATTTAGGAAATATGACTCTTTTAGAAAAAATGTATTAAAAGTATTATTTAAGTGACTAGTGGGTATATTCTTGTAGGTAAAGGTCGACAGAATGGTACCTAAACTACTTTTTGTCTATGAGTGGTCTAAGTTATATGGTTTTCGAATACCAAACTGGAACGACTGCGTTATACCCTCGAACACAAGTATATCGTGATTGGTATACGGAATCGAGAATTGCACAAAACAAGTTTGCTCCAATCGAGCGATTAGATGGAATGACCTGCTCAAATCTTTAAAAGTGAATATAAATAAACGCTTATCATTTCACTATTAAAAAATATTTTTTTAAAAGAAATCAATTGATTTTAGATCGTGATAAAGTTTTTAATACCTAAAATAAAAATGTAATCCTTTCTTCAAAAATAAACAGTGAACAAGTACTAAGCAATAAAACATGTCACAAAAAAATGTTTAGTTTGCTAGCAAATTCTTTGTAAACTGCTATCTATCTTTTAAAAAGGTTTTTTCTTTGCCTATTTTTAAATTTTATGAGAGGCTTTTATGTTCATTGATAACGAGATTTGAAAAAAGATTTTCATTGAGTTGAAGTAAATTATGATTATGAATGAGCTAGATTATTATCGTTCTACTTTGCTTGCGATTAATTCCAAACAACACGGAGTATTTGTTGATAATTACCAAGAGTGCGAAATGGCTTAAAAACGTATTATTAATTGCTATGATCTGTGAGTAATAACACTGCGGTACAAAATCTGAACTTTATTTATTTACAATAATGAATAAAATTTTTTTTTAATTTCGGAATGGATATTTTGGATATTTCTAGGGAAATTGTTTGCACCACGCTTTAACGAAATTTACCTTAAAGTTTAGTGTTATAAGCAAAAGTACTTTCCAAACAAATAATGTATTCTCAATTTTCTACACTCAGGTAAAAAAAGGATTTAAGATTGTTCTTTATGAAATTAAGTAAGACTTCTACTTAAATTGTACTGAATGAGATGAATAATGCAGTTTACTTAAACAAAGCGAAAAATATTATAAACAAATCTTAACGTTTAATGAACGAATATGATTCGAGAACCCAACTTAACGCTTTCTAGATTAAAATATATGAAAGAGTCTTTTGTTATAAGTACAGAACGTAGATACTTCTTTAAAGAATTTGCTAGTTTCTCTGCAAACTATTTTTTAATCTTTCATGACACTCATCTTTAATTCTTGAGCACTTAAAAAATAGTATTCTTGAAATTAAAATTAACAAGTGCATCTTAACATTCATAAAAAACGAATTGTACTACCCCAGCTTAGTTAATTTACTAAAAAAAGGACATTTATTGTTTAATTTAAAATTGTACTATTATTTAAGTAGGAACACACCAAACATTCTTTAAACAATAACTATTTAAAATCAAGTATGATAGTACTTAAATTTGAAGTGGCTTTTTTCTAAGTATACTAATAATTCCGATAAGAAACTGTTTAAGTGGCTTGGAAATAAAAAAGCAAAAATATTTGCGCTTGGTATTATTTGAAGATTTAAAAAAAATTATTTTCAACTTTCTAAAAATGTTAGAAAAATATTCTTTTACCAACAACAACCAATAATTGAATTAATATCCAGCAAAAAAACACTGAATTCAGAGAGGCAATGTGTAATTCATGCAAATACATATTTAAGGCATTTTTCACAATTCAAACCGATAAAAAATTAATTTAAAAAAAATAGTTAAATTCTGAATAAGCTACATGCTTGTGGAAACCTAAAGTTTTTTGCTTGGAAACGCTTTCTTTTCATGTTAAAAATGTTTATGCTTTATATTTGATAGCAAAACGACAAGTCCGATTATCTTAAAGTAGGCGTACCCTAAAACGGAACTTCCTCCAGATTTCTGTAACATTCGAATTTGAATACTGATACTGCTGCCCCACATAATTTTAAGATACCAAGGTTTTTTTCAAACTTTAATAAAGTCAATCATATATCCTTGACGGAAATTCACATACAATATTTATATGTGATATGTTATTTTCTTAAACATATTTATTGTTTATTTACCAATTTGGGTGAACAAAATAATAACCTTTTCGGCATCAAATCGAGATTCTTCAACAGTATTGAGTAGAAATGCAAATATAAATAAAATTTCTGCGACCAGTTGAACTGTAATGCGCTCAGTTTAACAATTGTGCTTCAGTGCGTTGGACATCATGGAGTCGAACCAGGGGACTTAGTTGGCCACGTAGATCTCGAACTCCTTGTAGGCCAGCTCCTCGCCGCCGTACGGGATGTAGCAGCATCCGTGGGAGGGCTGCACCTTGCCCACGGTGATGGTTCCGTCGTGGGTGGCGCGTCCGATGAAGAGCGGCTCGCCCTCGGCGGTCTCGCCGGCGGGATAAGCGTTGGGCGGAATGTTTCCGGCATCGACGGCAACCCACTGTCCTCCGGCGGCGCAGAGCACCTCGTACTCGCCGTGTCCGTGCTCACCGCCTCCGTAGGCCACGTAGGTGACGCCGTGGGATGGGTGCAGCTTGCCGGGAATCAGGTCACCCTCGTGACGGGCACGGGCAATGTACAGCTGCTCGCTGCTGTCGAATCCTCCCTCCAGGGCGTTGGGCGGAACCTCTCCGTTGGCGGCGGCCACCCAGCATCCTGGTCCGCTTCCGGTGGGCGCTGCAAAGCCAATCGCTGGTGCAGAGGGAGCGGAATCTGCGGAGAAACGATGCGATTAATTAGCTGATGATATTTATAAAAATTGTTCAAATAAAAGCACAAATCTTGCTCAGATTGATATACCTTGCCATTCCATAATTACTAGACATATGTATATATTCTAGGAAAATATTAACTAATTTTAGAAACATAAAAACTGTGTAGTGTGATTCTCGTTTGTGTTTTTTAAGTCATTTTAGCCTTTGAGTTGAAATACATATAACATTATTTGGCCCTCTAAAAATATATCTGTTTATATTGGCAATGTTATTAACAGCCCATTATAGTTCTTAAAAAATTGTATTTTGTTTGATGGGTTCCCAATTATATAACAAATACTTTGCAAAAGACGTTGAAAATACGCTAATGTCAAAAAATGCTTAAGGTTTAAGTACCATTAAAATATTAAAAGAAATAAAATATTAATTTAAGTAAGTAAGTAGTTGTTCTTTCTATGTATACAATGGGTTGCATTGTGAAACTGTAGGACAATACATTATCCAAACAAAACGAAAGATAAACTAATCAGAGAGAAAAACACTTGTGCTATTGTTGAGCCCCCAAAGGCGTGTAACTGGGCGTAAACTCACCATCCAACTGCCAGGATCCGCTGGCGCCCCATCCCGTGCAGATGCCGACGAAGTTCACCGGGAACAGGCTGCCGGCGTCGTAGGAAAGGAAGGCAGCAGCATCTCCTTCGCGACCCACGGTGATGACATTGTCATACCAGCGCACCCAGAAGCCGCGGAACTCGCCGGCGTCCAGGATACCCGGAGTGGGCACCTCGGCCACCTCGGGCTTCTGGCGGTCCTTGCGGATCACCGACTTGGTGTTCTCCCATCCGCCCAGGAAGATCTCGAAGATTGGGCCGTTCTCCTCGGGAGCGGGTGTGAGTGCCAAGTGGGCATCTTTGGGGGAACGCACCTTGAAGGTGAACAGTCCACCGCTGGCCGGGAAGAATTGGTACTCCAACTTATCGGGGGTGTTGATTTCTGCAAAGAAGGCGGTGAAGAGAAGATTAGTGTTGAGTTTCAGAGGCAACTGTACCCAGCTATGTTTTCAGAGGCAACTGTAGCAAAATATGTGCGAGATGGGAAAGTTTTGAGGTTTTAATTATCAACCTCAAACATCTCCCGCAAATCACAGGAAAAGTGTTGTCATAAAAAATACTTGAACTGGAAAAATTTCGTTGCTATTTATATGTTTGGGCCGTTTGAGATACATATCTGAATGTTTAGCGTCTGTTTTTGTTTTCGCTACTTGTTTAACGCCATTCGCATGATGTCATTTAGATCGCCATCGGTTCTTTGCTACAAAATATTCTAGCTAATTCCACTCAAGCTCAATTTCGAGTTCTGAGCCGGCATTACGGCTCTCGGGCGACGAACATTTGCCTAGAGATATGTAAGGTTGTGCTTTTTGTTCTCCACAGATTGTACAAATTCTTTCCCAAGCAACATTATTTCGCATGACATCATTATGGGTGCATCTCTCGTCTGACCCTCGGGTAACACTCGCGGTATTCTTATTGATTATTGCCAGAGTTCAAGGCGTATACAAGTGACTCATCACAGCTGATACACATTTTTGGACACCTTGGTATATGACCGCATCGAGAATCAATTTAATAGGTCATAAATAACACTAAAAAGGCACCAGCAAAGTCCAAAATGTATAGCATTGTCTGCGTATTCCCGTTAATTGAATTTAGATGATCACAAGGTGAAAGTTGCGCCATAAACACTCTCTGCATATATTTTATTTGGTAAAAACCCAACATAGATAAAGAATTTCTATATTTTATTTACTTCTGATGTTTCGATTCTAGGAATTTGTTGACACAATTCAATTTTGGTCGTGGGCCAAAAGTTTAGTTCTTTATTCCGCTTCCCTCCCTACGTTTAAATTCACCCAATTATCCATTCCATTATCCAACTGCTCTATGCACTCCACCCACTTGGGAACTCACCAATTGGCATGATTGCTACTTCCACTTAACGTTGTTCGCTTACTGAGATTCTGATTCAAACTGCCGCAATGGAACCCAAATACCGGCGAGGTAAGCACTGCTAAAAACAAGAGGGCAGTGCGAGAATAAAAGCTCGACAAGCTTTTCGACTCTCTTTCAATTTGTGTGAGATCGATGTCTATCTAGAAAGTGGTCGACTGTACCAGCTTGTATAGGAATCTATTACCATAAAGTCGCTCTGTTCATAGCTAAGCCTCATCGATTAAGATGTACTTTTTATTAAAATATTTAATACCATAATTACCCTGAATTTAACAAAAATTCATAGAATATTAGCTTTAATAACATAAACTAAAAATTTGGTTTCTAACTGGAGAATTTTAGATATTGCATCGAAAAAAAGGAAATCAAATTCCTAACCATTTTGGAAAGGGTATGCAAAATTTGGTTAGTTAAGTTAGCTTTCGTACCTAGTTTTCCTTAGCACGACTATGACTCAGGTTGGCAAAAGCTACTGCTGATGTCATCAAGACCACTGGGAAGCTTTCTCAATGCTAAAAATGCTCTGGCTAAGGGCTTGATACTTCTTTTTAGTCGCTTGCCAGAGACAGATTTACATATTTATGCTAAATTAATTAAGTACATATATATTATGATTTCCGAAAAACTTTATTAAAACTTTCCATGTCTAGTGACAAACCATTTTTTTTAATTTTGCTCAGATATGTTTGAACAAAAATATATGGTTTTATTTTTGGAAACAAAGTAAAATAATTGTAAAGTAAATGAAATGCTACATATTAAAGTTATAATTTTGTGAGGGTAATGTTAATGTTAATATTAAAAAACCAAAATTTTTAAGAATTCAATTAACGAAAAGATTTTATATACTTATAAGCCAAATCATAGATTTTCTCGCTGGTAGGGTATTTTCAATTCGATTTTTCTGATTCTCCTATTTTCTTTTACAATGTTTTAACGTTGCTGTCGTCATTTATTTTGGCGTCATGTGCCGGTTTTATTTTGTGTTGTCACATGGGTTACCAAACCAGGGCATCCAATGCTACTGCCAATGATTTCACCAAAAGGGTCTAATGGGCTTAAAAAAAAATTTGTTTTCCATTCGGACATTATAAATTTAATGTGCTATTAAATAGATTCATTAAAAGGTCTTTGCACTACCAAATTGTTGCATACTTTTGGGGCGCCAGATATTTCAATAGCACTGGACCAAAATTTTTCAGCTTTTTTCAGTCTTGTACGAGGTTGTGCGAATTATCTTTCTGTACGTCACTTCTTTTTTGTTCATGGCCTCTTGTGTTCTTAATGTCAGTCGGTTTTCTTTAGTCTCGCCGGTCGGTCGCACTTTTCTTATTACGAAACGTACATGCGCAGAACTTCGCTACGAACGGAAATAGTTTAAAATAAACAAATTACTATTTGCATTCACAGAAACGGCTAGTCGTGCCAAATTGTCTTGTGATAAGAGCAGATCAATTGCTCACACCGTGCAACTCGGGTATTTATATCGGAGACACCTAAACACACATCCGAACAAACTTTACACCGTGGCAGACGAGTAAACAAACAATACACTGGTTATAGGTTTCCTTTTATTGTTTACTTTAGTGCTGAACAGATCATTTTACTGGAAGGGCCTTAGGTTTTACCTGGCTTGCTGGAGCATTGCATCTATATTATGAAGCTTAACCATTTATAAATGGGCTTATTTACGTCATAGTTCTACTAGGCATGTTTAACTTAGGCCATCTTAGGATATGGCATTTTTAGGATGTGTTTAAGAAAATAAGTTTTTATCGTTTAATACAACTTTTAAGTTAAACCAACAACTAACGGTTATGTCTGATTGCTGCCGTAGATAATATCTTGACAGTTTAGGATATTAACTAATTCATTTTTTGTATTGTTATAGCTGTTACTATTAGATAATCGGAACAGGATTCGAAATGCATTAATAAATTAAGTAGGCACTTGGAAACAAGAGCCTGGACAATACCTAATAGCTGAATAAGCCACAGACAGAATATTTCATCATCTTTATCTAATCTTTCAGATAGCTTTCAGACAGAATTCATTTTTCCCATTGACGGGCCCCCAAAATATATGTACATATACTGCGCATATCAGCGAACAAAACAAGTTAACTTTGTTTACACTTTCCCATTTACTTTTATGGCTCGATTTGCGTAACATTATGACCTCTGGAATGCTGTGCAGTGCCAAATTGAAATAAATTAATAAAATTGATTTCCGCTCCCGACATTTGCGACATTTCCAGAGACAAGTGTAAATCTGGACGAGTTCACTCAATTGAATCCAATTGGGTCTCAGTTCCAGCCTCCTTCCACTGGATTTTCTCGAAAGTGTCAACAGCCAATTGAGATTTAAGTAACCTAGGGCAATCAACTTGGTATTAACCCTAGGTTCACATTTTTATAAACAAAAACAAATAGTACAGATGTTGATATTTCATAAATAAAATTATTAGCTTTCTTTATAAATTAATTGTTTTTAAATAAACATCTTGGGTAAAGTCTAGATGCAGATGAGATCTATCTGTTAACGAAAGGAAAAGTAAAAAACGAGCAGCAGTAACTTCAGATTACCTTATCGCGTATACGCCCTGTTACGCCATGTGAAAAATAAAAATTTCTTATGAAATCATTCAGCAAGCCCCAAACTAAATCAGCTGAAAACATAATAGTAAAAATAAACTGAAATTAATTTTAGTATAGGTAAGCAGTCTGTGTGCTTGACGAGCCCCCCAATACTTGTGATCTTTGCTCATGCTCTAATATGAGTTTAACATACATACATATGTACATAAATCTGAAAATGTTAAAAAAAAACTCGTTTGACTTTACTCTTATAATCTTAAATCATCAAAAGGAAAGATAACTGATCTTGATTGGCCACTTGTTCCGATTGATTTGACTTCGGAACCCTTTGATATTTATAATTATCCTGGTGATTAATGCAACTCCCGTTTGATAATGGAGTTGTTGGCCTGTTGTTCCGATAAGTAATGCCTATACTTGCCTCCCTTTTGCTTTCCGATGCAGGCGTACATACATACATATGTAAGTACGTGTGCGTGAGACAGACAGTTCCCCTGCCCTTCCCCGATAAAGGGCACTTTGGGAATGACTCAAATATGCGACAAACATATCCATGTTATCTGTGTTAGGTCTCTAAACATTTTGTTTTGGTCTGGCGCCGTATTTACTGTCAACACGTCATTTTTTAAGTGCAGTTACAAATTGCATTTTAGTGAAAGGAGGGAAGTGGGAGAAAGAGAAGTCAGAAAGAGGTAAAGAGTGGACGAAGCTCGCGGTACGAGGAAGTGTGAGTGCAGAGAGTGGAGACGAAAGAGGCGCGAAGGATGGAGAAAAAGTACCGGCTGTCACACGTCACACATACTAAAAAAGATCTGGTAAAATTTTCTCTCCATACTTTTTGTTTTGCTGTGGGCTGTGCTGTGCGGCAGTGGACTTTTATCACAGCAAGAGAACTCGAAAAATATTGCTCTTGCATATTTTGTTCAAGCACGTTCGCCAACAGCTGTCATTTTACACTGTAAAAAATATTTTAACCTTTCTAGCATTCTGAATGGGAACGAAACAGAAAATAATAACACAAAAGTATTACCGTATTAAATACAATTGAAATCTTACAAATGAATCTGAATCATTAACAACAAAATAACTCGTATTATTTACACAGTAACTTTCTTGTCTTTCCAGTTCGTTGACTTTTTTTAAAGGATTTATGTTTATAATTTTTTCGAAAAAGCTCGAAATTCGCTGAGCGAAAACTATTTAACAACCGTAAGTTGCAAGGTCGCGATTAGTCTCGTAACTCTGCTCAAAGTGACGCCGAAAGAAATTAAAGAGTGATCGAACCGAGTGATAAATGCAAACAAGGCATATTTAAGTGATAAACAAGTGGCAAAAATAAACAAACCATTTTAGCTAAATTAAAATTGGTTCCACCAGGCGACGG